GGGCGCTGCGGGTCGTGCTGGGCGGCAGGGCCTTCGAGCTCGAGGCGCGCGAGCTGTTCCTCCGGGTCCCCGCGGACGACGGCGGCGAGAGGTTCGGGCGTTGCGCAATGGGGGGGGAGGGGGGCGATAGGTGGGGGGGAGGGGTCGAACAAAACGGAGTCGATAGGTGGGGGGGTGGCGATAGGTGGGCGATAGGTGGGGGGGGGCGATAGGTGGGGGGGGGGGGGGGGGGGGGGCGAACAAAACGGAGACGTCTTCACCGACGCTGGCGCGCAAGATGCGCCCGCGTGGGGTCGCGCGTCGGTGCTGTCGTTTTCCCGTGCGGCGTGCCGCGCTGGCGGCCAGCGTAAAGCCACCGCGCAGGGTCGCTGCGTGATCTCGCGCAAGGCGCGCTTCTCGTCGTCGCCCAGAGGAAGTGGGCGCATAAAGGTGCGCGCTTTGGAGCCCTGAAGGGGCCCTATACTGGGCCCCACAATATGGGGCACGACGGGTGCATATTTCTCCCCTGGCCCCCCCATTCCCAGGCATCCGATGTCTTGAGTTACTGGATGCGGGGTCCTCAGAGGTCCGGACGCTTTTCCCGGCGCCGACTCTGCATCCTGAGTCGTCATTCGACGGTCCCGGGGCCCGGCGAGGGCCCCCAGAGGCCGAACATTTGGAAGACATTTCCGCCTCGAGCTTCTCGAGACGTGTGAGGTCTGGGCTTCATCGCCCCCCCACGAAGCAACGCCCGAGAGGTGCCTCCTGGAGGTGAAGCCCAACTCGAAGCTCCTCGGCGAGGGCAGCAACGGCTCCGCCGCGGGGCCCCCGCGAAACTCCTGCGGCCTGCGGGCCCGATCGGCGCCGTCGCCGCCAGTGAGGGGGGGGGGGTCAGCGCCGAGCCAAGAAACCCGCGCGGGGACCTCCGAAAGTGTGTGTATGTTGTGTGTGTGTGTGTTGTGTGTTGTGTGTTGTGTGTTGTGTGTTGCGTGTGTGTGTGTGTTGTGTGTTGTGTGTGTGTGTTGTGTGTGTGTGTGTTTTGTGTGTTGTGTGTTGTGTTGTGTGTTGTGTGTTGTGTTTGTGTGTGTGTTGTGTGTGTTGTGTGTGTTGTGTGTGTTGTGTGTGTTGTGTGTTGTGTGTTGCCTGTGTGTGTTGTGTGTGTTGTGTGTTGTGTTGTGTTGTGTTGTGTTGTGTTGTGTGGTGTGGTGTGGTGTGGTGTGGTGTGGTGTGGTGTGGTGTGGTGTGGTGTTGTGTGGTGTGGTGTGGTGTTGTGTTGTGTTGTGTTGTGTTGTGTTGTGTTGTGTTGTGTTGTGTTGTGTTGTGTTGTGTTGTGTGTGTATGTCGTTCATTTTTCCTCTTGGTAGGTTCGTGTCGCCTCGACGCGGCTGCGACCCCGCCGCGGGCGTTCGAGGTTGACCGCCCCCAGTGGCCCAGCATCGGCCAAGGTGGAACGAGCTGCCCATCGGAGTGCCGCCGATCCGTCGGAAACCAGGTCGAGGACGAGGAGGACGAGGAGGAGGAGGAGGAGGAGGAGGAGGAGGAGGCGGAGGAGGAGGAGGAGGAGGAGGAGAAGGAGGAGAAGGATGAGGGAGGACGAGGACGGGAAGTGGAAGTGGGTCAACGGGTCGTGCCCAGGTCGAGCGGTCCTCGCGGTGTCGGAAACCAGCGCCTGGGTCGTCAGAAGAAGTCCCTGCCAGGGCCCACCTGGCTGCAGACGCCCCTCAAGACTTCTGCCCCCCCCCCACCCACCCGCCCCTGGATGTGGCTCGAATGTTCGGGCCATGGGGTCCAGCGCCGGTCCAAGAAACCCGCACGGACTTCCTAAAGTTCATGCCTACGTCGTTTTTTTCTCAAAGGGGATGCAGCCCTGGATCCCGCAGGGATGCAGCCTCCGGCTGCACCCCAGCTGGGTCCGACCCGCAGGGGTGCAGCCGGAGGCGCTGCAGCAGGGGCCACCCTGTTCGACTACACGTAGGAGTGGCCCTTCGCCGGAGTGACCTTTGCTGCGGGCCCACCGGGATCCCCCGATCGCCGAGCGCGATGCGATGGCAGCGTGCTGCGCGCCTGTGTTTGGTCACCCCGCGGCCCCCGAAGAGCCGCGCACCAAAGGTCACTCCTACGTACAGTCGGGGCCCTGAAGAAGGAGCCCTTTTCGTTGGGGAGGGGCTCCGTGTTCCTTGATTGCTTCACAGTTTGCCTTCGGTTCTCCTTCTGTTTTCGAGGGGAAATCGAAGTTCAACTCGTGGATGAAAGGGGGCCTCGTTCCTTATCTAGGGTTCCTTGGGTCAGCGCTCCGACCTGGGGTCACTCCTGCGTGTTGCTGAAGCCTGCCCAGGCATGCGACGTCCTGATTTTTTCAGGACGGCGTCCCCGGAAGTCCAGACCCGTTCCCCGGGACCGGTTTTTCATCCTGAGTCGTTTTTTGACGGTCCCGGGGCCCGGCGAGGGCCTCCAGGGGTCGAAAATAGCGAAAACCTTCCCGTCCTGATTTTTTTACAACCATCATGTCTGGGTGTGCTCAGGACGGGGCTCTGGTGCCCGCGCCGCGCCCCGGGCCCCGGGTCGTGGAGCCCGCCCGTGGCCGAGGCTCGCCGCGGCCGGAGAGGCCCCCCCTCTCGGGCCTCCTGCCGCGCCTCCGGGGCGGCAGCACGGCGGCTGCCATAGGGCCCAGGATTAAGTCGGGCCTCCTCCTCCTCCCCCTCCCCCTCCCCCTCCCCCTCCTCCTCCTCCTCCTCCTCCTCCTCCTCCTCCTCCTCCTCCTCCTCCTGCCCCCTCCTCCTCCTCTTCCCTCTACAGGGGGAATATCCAGAAATAGTGGAAAAATAGTCTGGGGACCATCTTGTGAGCATTTCTGGGCATCTCTCGAGCATCTTTAGAGTGTGTTTTATGTTTCGTCTCAGATCCCCCGGTAGGGGGAGAGGCCCGACCTGAGCCCAGGGCGTGGCTCCCCGAGGCTCCGCGTCGCCCGGCCAGGGGCGGCGGGCGCAGCTGTGGATGCTGGGGGGCATGTTCATGGCGCGCTACGCCACGCTCTTCGACTTCGACCGCGGCGCCGTGGGCTTCGCCGAGGCGACGGCCGCCCGCGGGCCCGCCGCGGAGGTGCGGCCCTGGGTGGAGGAGGCGGAGGCGCGCGGCCTCGGCCCGGCGCGCGGGCCCGCGCGCGAGGCGCGGCGAGGCTGGGCGGGCGCCGCGGCGGCGGCGGGGCTGGCGGCACTGGCCGCGGCGGCCGCGGTGGGCCGGCAGGCGGCCCGGGCGGGGGCCTGCCGCGGGGCCCTCGGCGGCGGCGCGGCGCCGCGGCGGCGGAGTGAGGCGCCCTCGCCCGGGCGCGGGGCCGAGCCCGTGCGCCGCCGCGCCGCGGCGGCGGCGCCGCAGGCGCCGCGGCGGCGGAGGGCTCGTCGCCAGGGCGGGGCCGAGCTGTGCGCCGCCAGGGCGCGGCGGCCGCGCCGCGTGGGCCGCGGCCCTGCCGCGCGCGGGGCGTGCCTGGCCCCTGGCGCGCCCAGGGCATCGCCGGCGCTCCGTCGCCGGAGCGGCGTCGCGCGCTCGTCTCGGGCGCGCGCCGTGTCTCGAGGGGGGGGGGCCGCAGCGCAGCCCCACTGCGCGCTGCGCCCCGGTCGCTCACACCTCCAGCGGCGGGCGGCCCCCTCGTCCGACAGGAAGGCGTGGTGCCGCGCGCCACTCTGCCGCTGTCCGCCTCTCGCTCGAGGGCCTCCCTTCTCGCTCCTGATCGTCGGTCCGGACTCGGCTCGCGGCCGGGACGCCAGCATCCTGCGGCGCAGGCCGTGCCAAAGAGAAGGAAACGGCGCAGGGTAGCGGCAGCAGGCCACGAGGGTGATGACGGCGACGACGACAAAGGTGATGATGATGCTGATGCTGATGCTGATGCTGATGCTGATGCTGATGCTGATGATGATGATGATGATGATGATGATGATGATGATGATGATGGTGATGGTGATGGTGATGGTGATGGTGATGGTGATGGTGATGGTGATGACGATGATGACGATGATGACGATGATGACGATGATGACGATGATGACGATGCTGCTGCTGCTGATGATGATGGCATGATGATGATGATGATGATGGTAGTGACGGTGATGACGATGGTGACGTTGATGGTGGTGGTAATGATGGAGATGATGGTGGTGATTATGATTGTGATACTGATGGTGCTGCTGATGATGCTGCTTGTGGTGATGATGATGGTGATTGTGATGGTGATGGTAAGGCTATTGATGCTGGTGATGGTGATGGTGATAAATGGTGTTAGTGATGATGAGGCTCGTAGTAGTGAAAATACAAACCATCATCATCATCATCATGATGGTGATGACGATGATGATCATTATCATGATGATGATGACGATGAAGATAGTGGTGGTGATGATGGTGAGGATGGTCGCGATGCTAATGATGATGCTGATGATGATGTTGATGATGATGCTACTGGGGACGATGATGGGGATAAGAGCGAGGATTCTGATGAGGATGCGAATAAAGGTGATGATGGCTGTGATGATGCTGATGATGATGCTGATGATGGTGATGATGGTGATGGTGTCAATGTTAATGGTTATGATGATACTGATGATGGTGATGATACTCATGATGCTGATGCAGATGGTGATGGTGATGAGGATGGAGATGATGAGGAGGAGGTGGATGTTGTTGATGATGGTGATGATGGTGGTGATGATGAGGAGGATGATAAGGATCGGTATGACGATGAGGATGAGGATTGTAACGATGATGATGATGATGACGATGACAGTGATGATGACAGCGATGATGATGAGGGTGATGTTTTTGAGAACGAGCATGATGACGACGACGAGACGACGACGATGATGATGATGCTGATGGTGATGGTGATGATGATGCTGCTGATGATGATGGTGGTGATGGTGCTGATGGTGGTGATGATGATGATGGTGATGATGATGATGATGATGATGATGGTGGTCATTATGATTGTGATACTGATGGTGCTGCTGATGATGATGGTGGTGGTGATGTTGATGGTGGTGGTGATGATGAGGGTGATTGTGATGGTGATGGTGATGGTGATGCTGTTGGTGCTGATGATGGTGATGGTGATGAATGGTGTTAATAATGTTAATATTAGTAGTAGTAGTAAGAATACTAAGCAGCATCATCATGATAATGATGATGGTGATGACGATGATGATCATTATCATGATGATGGTGATGACGATGAAGATGGTGGTGGTGATGATGGTGAGGATGGTCGCGATGATAATGATGATGATGCTGATGATGATGTTGATGATGATGCTACTGGGGATGATGATGGGGATAAGAACGAGGATACTGATGACGATGCGAATCAAGCCAGTGATGCTAATGCTGATAGTGGTGACGGTGATGGGAATGTTGACGTTGATGGTGATGGTAATGGCGGTGGTTGAGAATATGACCAGGATGACGATGATAGGGATGGTCACGATGACGATGATGGTGGTGGTGATGTTGAGAATGACGACGACGATGACGACGACGACTACGACGACGATGATGATGATGCTGATGATGATGGTGGTGGTGATGATGCTTGTTGGACGACAATGATAAAGATACAGCTGAAGATTAAGTGAAACTGACGATGCCCATGACTATGATGATAGTGTTGACGATGGTGGCGGTGGTGATAATGATGATGACGATCGAGATGATGAGAATGATGAGGATGAGGATGATGAGGATGATGATGATGATGGTGATGGTGGTGATGATGATGCTGTTGGCGAAGATGAGTATGACGATGACGATGAGGAGTGTGTTGATTATGGTGATGATGATGATGATGAGGATGAGGATGATCATGATGAGGAAGATGATGATGATGATGAGGATGATGATGATCATGATAAGGATGATGGTGTTGATGCTGACAATGAGGAGGACGATGATGATGATGATGATGATGATGATGATGATGATGATGGTGATGGTGATGGTGATGGTGATGGTGATGGTGATGATGATGATGCTGAGGAGGAGGAGGAGGAGCATACGGGCGATGATGATGCCGATGATGCTGGTGGTGGTGATGATGGTGGTGATGACGATGATGCTGATGATGATGGCGAGGAGGAGGAGGAGGAGGAGGAGGAAGAGAACTGTGCTGTTGCTGGTTTTCTGGCAAGGGGCCTCGCCGCAAGAGGCCGAGGCTCGGCCGAGGGCATCCGAGAGCTGCAGATGGCAGCATGGCGCACCCTTTCTCGGTTGCTTCTCCAGCGTCTTCCTGTTGAACTCGATCGCGAAGCGTGACCTGCCAGGCAGGCTCGAAAGCTGGGCGAGGGCTGCTAAAACCGTGGCCGCTAAAACGGCCCTCCCAGAAGGAAAAAACAACTTCCCGGAATGAGGCGCGGCACGCGAAACAGTCAACGGGCTTCTTCCCGGAAGGACGAAGACAATTTCCCGGAGGTCGATTTTAGCAGCCACGGATTTAGCAGCCCTTGCCCGGCTTCCGACAGGCCCTTCTCGACCTTGCTGAGATTCTGCATGCCCGCCTGAAGCGCACGCTTGCCGCACTCCTTGGCCAGGTCCCTCATCGACTCCCTCGCTATGCAGCCGCGGACCGTGCAGTAGTGCAGCCCCAGCTCCTTGCTGAAGTCCAACTTGTGGCTCCCGAGGGCGCAGAGGTTGCGGATCTGCAGTCGCGCAGCTTGTAGGGCGTTGAACGTGGGCACGGCCTTCGCCTCCAGCTCCTCGCACGGGCTCGCCAGCCACGCCTTCGACTTCGGCACCCTGGACCCGCACTTCTCGCACTTCAGGTGCTTCGCGCCCGCGTCCTCCGTCACTGCCTGGTCTCGCTCATCAGCTTGGCCAGCCGCGTCTGCTTGATGTGCGCCTGCCCCCCCTCCGCTCTCGCAGGTACCTGCGAGGGCTCTACTTACCTCCACCGCCGCCATGAGCGTCGCCAGCGTCTGGCCTCGGATCGAGGACGCGATCCCGTCGGCCCAGCCCAGTCTGCGAGCCCCCGCCCACGGCGCACGCTCGCTCTCGACGATGCCCTCCACGAACTCGTCCGTCGTGCTGGTGCCCAGGAGGTCGATCATCTCGACGCCCGCGCCGACCGCCTCCACTCCCGGTGTTGACCATGAGCAGCTCATTGCCCAACATGGCCTGCCGTATTTCGTTCCACAGGTCGATGTGCGTCTTTGGCCATGCGGCCCCACTTCAGCGTCCTCATACCTCGCATGACGTATTTCGAGTCAGCCGTGTACATGATCCCGCGGAATCCGTCGTGAAGTGCCTTTTCAAGGCCATGAACTCGCCCCTGTTGACGCTCTACCCCAGCCCGCAAGCACCTCGAAGACCACGAAGTGTGTAGCTGTTGGCAAAAAAAAGTCCCCGGCACCCTCCCCCGGATCGCGCCCAGACCCCCTTGGGGCGTCATGATGCTCTCTTTTGACCCTACTAGAAACCTAGTATCTCGGCAAAGCAACCTAACAGCGATGTGTAGGAGCATATCTGGAAGCATTCCCCTTGAGATTCAGATGAGAAGCCAGTTGTAGAATTTTGCTGTTCTCGCAGTCGTAGTCGCATTCGCGATGATAGTCGCAGTGGCAACGGCTCGCAGTCACAGCCTCAGCCTCAGCCTGCCTCAGCCTCAGTCTGCCTCAGCCTCAGCCTCAGCCTGCTTCAGCCTCAGCATCAGTCTGCCTTCAGCCTCGGCCTCAGCCTCCACCTGCCTCAGCCTCACCCTGCATGAGCCTCAGCCTCAGCCTCAGCCTGCCTCAGCATCAGCCTGCCTCAGCCTCAGCCTCAGCCTGCCCCAGCCTCAGCCTCAGCCTGCTTCAGCCTCAGCCTCAGTCTGCCGTCGGCCTCGGCCTCAGCCTCCGCCTGCCTCAGCCTCAGCCTGCATCAGCCTCAGCCTCAGCCTCAGCCTGCCTCAGCCTCAGCCGCACTACGACCTCCAGCAACGAACATCGGCTTCTGCTGGCCTGCCGCCTGCAGGATCAGCCAGCCCCTGGCAACCCCGCGGGGGCCGTTCGTATGCTCACGTCCCGAGGCACCGCCTGTTGCCACCAGCCAGTCGTCCTTGTTCAAGCTGCCCATGCAGCCCACGCGCTCCCGAAGCTCGTCGGCAACATGCTCAGACTGCCAGACGCGAGGCTGGATCTCCATCTGGTCCAGGGCTCTCCCCACGAGGTGCTGCGACCTCGGGTACCTCCCGAGCAGCCAGCTGCACGTGCACGTGCACGTCCACATCCGATGCTCCCACGTCTTGGCCTCCTCGCCACGCCGAGGGCACAGTACAGTCGGGGCCCTGAAGAAGGAACCCTTTTTGTTGAGGAGGGGCTCCGCGTTCCTTAAGTGTTTCACAGCTTGCCTCAGGTTTTCCTTATGTTTTCAATTGGAAATCGAAGTTTAACTTATGGAAAATAGGGGCCTCGTTCCTTATTTAGGGTTCCTTAGGTCAACGCCTCGACTGTACGCCGCTGATCCCATGCCCAAGTCGGCGACTCTGGCGTGGCCACACTCCCCCCGTCACGACCGCCGCGTGCGCGCCGCCTGTCGCGTGGTTGCCGTTCTGCTGGAGCTCGCGCCGGAGCTTGCGCGCTGGCCGAAGATCTGCACCGTCCTCGAGGCCAGCCCCAGCGTAGTGCTTGGCCGCCAACGCCCACTGCCGCTTCTCTATGGCCCTGCCCAGCGCCAGCTTCAGGGCGCCAGTGTCTGTGTGGTCGCCCAACGCGGTAGGACCTTCGCTTCCGAACGCCTCTCCAGTCTCCGAGATCCAATGCCATGGACCGTGCGGTGTCCACCCCGAATCGAGCAACGTGCACACCATCGCGTTCGCGATGCCCGCCTTTCCTCGCCCCCTGTGCTTCACCTCCGTCTTGGCCATCGCGGCTACGATCCTCGGCCATCTGAGATTGGCTTTCCTCCGTCTAGCCCCATCGTTGATGATGCATGTCCCCGGGTCCAGCAGGGAAAACCGTGCCGAACGCGGTGTCGCCTTTGCCAGCCTCCAGCTGCCATAGAGTGGTCAAAGACAGTCCTCGCAGCCTCGTGGCGACCACTGAGGCCAGCCACCCCTCCTTTTCGTGACCACCGACGCCGCCATGCCGAACGCCTTGCAAGCGTACGTATGCTGCGCGAGGCAGCGGCCGTCGTTGGACATCTGCCCGTGCTCCTTGCGCTCAGCGTCCGCTTCGGACCATCCGCATGGCCTTGGTCGTTTGACGGTCAGCATGCCCGACTCTCTTGGCATACTTTCCCTTGCAGCCTGCCACGTTGCCGCGGTCGATGCCGAGGTCGAGAGCGCGATCAGTCACCTTCACCGTGATGTCACGACTGTGAAACTTGAGCGCCACCTCCTTCGTCGCGCCCTTGTTTTTTCCGATCAGCGCCGATTTGGTGGACATCGCGAGCTTCGCCTTCTTGACGCCTGCTGCGACTACAGCCCCTGCCTTGGACGGCTGCCTAATGACCTTCCGCCTGGAGCCCTCCATCCTCGTCTTGATGCCGTCCACTCAGAAGCGCGTACACCTGACTGAGCTTGTTGGTCTCCAGGACGGCGCAGGGGGCGACCCTGCCGAAGGCGATGCCGCTTCTCGCGCCAGCACGGGTCGACTTGTCGGCCGCAACGGGCTCGGCGTATGCTGTCCGCTCTCGAATGAGGCGCATGCTCAGGTGGCTCAGGATCTCGAGGTGCAAAGTGCGAACTGGGATCCCGAGCCTGAGCCCGTCGTCTACGATAAACGGGATCAAGCGCGTCGTACAACTCCGCTGAGTCCCACAGCGCCGTGACCGCGTATAGCTTCACCGGTGTTCGCTCCAGCACCTCGCCGGCAAGCGCTGTGACCAGAGCCTCCCTGAGAGCGCTGCTGCCCGCCACCGCTGCGCCCCACTTGCCCGCCATGGAGGTGACCCACTCGTTGGTGCACTCGCTACGCATCTTCGGCCAGAGCCTCACCACCTCTGGCGGCAGTGCTATCGCTCGATCGCCACCCGCCTCCGTCCTGAGGAGGCTCACCAAGGCAACCATCGGCGGCCACGGCCTGCCACGGCCACGTGCCGCTCGCCTCGGCATGCTCGATCAGCTGACCGAGAGCTTCGCGCCCGCTCGGAGGCAGCCACTTGAAGGCCAGCGCCCCCATCTCCTCGGCACCCTCCGCCTCGCTCTTCGCCCTCGTGTCTATGGCGAGGTCCAGGTGCGCCGCCGTGATGGGCGCCCAGTCCTACTCCGCAGCCGCCTGCCAGGACTGCTCGAGCCTGCTGACGAGCTCGTCCTTGCTGCAGTTGCTTTGTCACTTTCTCGCCCGCTCCTTGCCCTTCGCGTCCATGTACTCCACCATTATCGTAGCGGCCTGGCCGTCACTCGTTGTCTCACCTCGTCTTGCCCTTGGCCTTGCGGTGCAACGTGCCCGCACTTGCAGCCTCGTGCTCGTGCACCCAGCTGGTGTACGCCATGAGCGCCTCCTTGACCTCCATACTCTTGCCTCTCCTTGCCGTTGCCAATGCGATCACTCCGAGGCTCTGCAACTGCTTGGGAGACGCCGCGGTGATGCCGTGCAGCGCTTCTCTCCACTTTCCCTTCTCCTTCCCGGCATGCTGGACAGTCCTCCCGTTGGGATAGGGCCACCCGGGTCCACGCAGAGCGATGGACGCCTCGACGCACTGGGCCCCGGGTGCTGGCACCTCTACAATTCCACCAGCCCAGAGGATGGCGTGCGCAACCGCACCATCGGCTGCTCCAGGTCTGCGCTGGCCTCGCTGCCTGCCTTGGCGGTGCCCTGCGAGAAGCGGATCTCCTCGCCTCGGCCGCAGTAGTGCCTACTTTCGGACGGCTCTCGCTTGAACGCGGTCGCGCAGCACTGCTCCACCTCCTCCTCCTCCTCTTCCTCCTCCTCCTCCTCCTCCTCCTCCTCCTCCTCCTCCTCCTCCTCCTCCACAGCGTGGGCCCACGCGCCGTACTTCGACCCGACCCCGCTGGACCCGTCCCCGTCTACGCGGCCGCCTGCGTGACGTAGTCTTGGTGGCGACCGCCGTGCTCTGCGGTGCTGCTCTTGAGCCCGTTCGCACTTGATCTTCCAGAGCCTGTGACGCTCTTCTGACGTGCTGTCGAAGGTCTCCTCCGCACTCCGCTGGGGTTGCTGAAGCCTCATCATCCTCGAAATCCTCTCTGACCTCACCGTCGTCCCCGATGGACGGGAAGTCGTCGAAGACTTCTCCATGTCGGCCTGCCTGGTGCTGCACTTCTCGGGCAGCTCCTTGCAGATGACACGTAACTTCGCCTTCGACTCCGACCCGTCCGTAATATCTTGAAGGGAGCGGGAGCGGAAGTCGGAATCGAAGCCAGGTCTTCCGCGATCCCCGCAGGATTGGACGCCTGGCGGGCGCCGGGCGCCGGGCCGCCCGCTGAAACGCTGGACAGACGACATCGCCACCTACAGTTAAGAAGTCGGGATGTGTGCGAGTCGGCGAGTCTGCTTGCCGGCAGCCCGTGCAGGGCGCGCGCGCTCCGGCGCACGCCGCGCCGCCCGCCCGATTTGCCATCAGGAGGCTCCAATCTCAGCTTCTGCTTGGCCCTCTTCCTCAAGCAGTGGCGAAGCGTCCTGGCTCGCCTATAGCTCCACCAAAGAATGTTCTAAGAATCTTTTGTGGTTCCCACGAAATCTTCTTGGAACATTTCTGGCCGGGACTGTCTTGTTTTAACACGTCGGGTTTATGTTCTAAGAACATTGTTTTTGTTATTCGAACATTTTTGGGTTCTAAGAACACGTCGTGGTATGACTATAGGACTGCCGGGACGGTCGGTCCCTGCTCAACTTCCTGGACCGCTTTCATGTTCGGGTCGGACTTCCGCTCCGGGACGTCTGGCAAGGGAAGCGGCTGTGGCAGGTTGAGCGTCCTTTCCAGGGCGACCTCCGCGACGCCTCGCACGTGCAGTCTCACTCCTTAGGGATCTCTTGGATCTACTCTTGGATCCACATGGTCAGCGTCAGCCCTCTCGAGCATCACCGAGAAGGACTCCGATCACACCACGCAGTCGAGCATGCGGGCGGTGTTGCAGGTATGTCTAGGCGACGTCCTGCGATGTTCTCACCGTCGCCTGCATCACTCCGAGCCATCGCTGCCCATGGCTCGCTGTGGCCTCGGGTGATCGTTGCGAGCCCCGCCATCTTCTACTGGTTATCGCTGCGCATGCCCATTGACGAGGCAAGGTACACGCCCACGATGATAATGTTGATGTTGATGTTAATGATGATGATGGTGATGATGATGATGACGATGATGATGATGATGATGATGATGATGATGATGATGATGATGATGAATATGATGACGATGATGATGGTGATGATGAGGATGAGGATGAAGATGAGGACGAGGATGAGGATGAGGATGAGGATGAGGATGATGATGATGCTGGTGATGAAGATGATGATGACGATGACGATGATGATGATGATGATGATGGTGGTGGTGGTGGTGATGGTGATGGTGATGGTGGTAGTGATGGTGATGATGGTGATGATAATGATGGTGGTGATGATGATAATGATGATGACGGTGATGATGGTGATGGTGATGGCGATGGTGGTTGTGATGGTGATGGTGATGTTAATGATGATGATGATGGTGATGATGATGATGATGCTGATGATGATGATGATGATGATGATGATGATGATGATGATGATGATGATGGTGATGGCGATTGTGATGATGAGGAGGAGCAGGAGGACGAGGAGGAAAATGATGATCAGGATGACGCTGATGATTATGGTGCGGCTGGTGTCGATAACGCGTTTGTGAATGATGCTCACGACGGCAACCATGGTGATGATGAGCACAGAAAGGCAGAAGACATATACCTAAGTCGTGCGGCAAGACACAAAGAACGAAATGACACATCAGAATGCGAGAATCGCATCTTGGCACTTGCGAGCTCTTTACTGGGCATTGTGTAAAAGTTGGCGAGTGGTCCCGAAAACCTTGGAACAGGCAGGGCACGTCGTAGCCCCTGCTGGGATCACGGACGCCACAGGTTTCCGATGGCCGTGAACCGTCATCCTATGCGTAGCCACGGCTTTGCTGCTACTGAAAAGTTTGGCACACTCAGTGCACGGAACTGTAAGAGGCTCGATGGCATCGTCGGCAAAAGACGCCGATCCTAACGTAACGTCTCGGGCGAGACGTTGCCACTTCCACCAGTCGTTGGCTATGAATTTGGCCATGCGGCAAGGTAATAATGGTCATGATGATGATGTTGATGATGCTAGTGATGAAGATGATGATGATGCTGATGATGATGGTGATGATGATGCTGCTGCTGATGATGGTGATGACGCGGATGATGATGCTGATGATGATGTTCATGATGTTGATGTTGGTGATGGTGGTGCCGATGATGGTTATCATTACGACGGCGATGATGATGATGATGATGATGATGATGATGATGTTGATGATGATGATGATGATAGTGATGATGATGATGATGATAGTGATGATGATGCTGCCAATGCTGCTGATAATGAGATTGATGATGGTGATGGTGGTGATGTTGATGATGATGTTTGCTGGACCCACGAGAGCGATATCGCCTTTCTGGATCATCCTGAAACTACGGGGATTTACCCCAGTCTCTGGAAACTAACAGCCTCGAGGAGTCTGCACATGCCTGCAGTACTCGTCCTCGTCTTCCTCTGCAAGTTGTTCTGGCTGTTCGTGTTGTTGTGTCCCGCAGCACCTCGCGGTATGCGGCACATATGTCACCAAGTCAGCCAGCGCTTGACAGTGCACAGCAGGCAGCGTGAGTATGTGTGGCTGGTCCTGCTCTTATCATCAGAGTGAGGGGGTCGAACGGTTGTTCACTGAGCGGTTATTCATTGAGCCTGGGCGCGTGGCTGAATTGGGATTCCTCGGTGCGGACCGCTGTTGTTGTTGGTGTTGCTGTTGCTGTTATATTGGATTCTCATTTCTGAAGAATCATTATTGTTGATTGTTGATCACCCCCTGCCCGGTGCATATAGTTTTTTCAATTGAGCTGCCCCTCCCTGGGCTCGCACCCTGTTTTCTATCAGGGGAAATCTTGAGCCTCAAACTGCGCCCGCGGCCCCCGAGTTACAACAACAAAGGCTCCCGCCGGATACTTCCCCACAGTGAAATCAGGCTCTCGCGCGGGACGGTCTCCCAATTTGTGCAGGAATCGCGCTCTCGCGTGGGACTTCCCCGCCATTTCTTCAGACGCCGCGCCCTCGACACGCAGGAATCACGCTCTCGCTGTGGATTTCCGGACGATTCATTCGGGAATCGCGCTATCGCTAGAGACTTCCTCGTGATTCATGCAGGACGCACGCTTCAGCAACCCGCCTGCTCGACCTGGCCGCTTGGACCGTCCTCCCCGATCCGCCCGTTAGGGTCTACCCGCCCGATCTGCCCGTTTGGTTCTGCCACGTGTTTTCTGTTCCGAGCCCCCCTCCTGCCACTCTCTCTCGTGTTCCCTCCTCCCCGTGTCCCTTCCATCCGTCCTCTCTTCCCCTGCCTTAGGGGCTGCACGAGATACACGTTGCAGGTGGTAAAGAAGATGTATCCCCCCAAGGGGGGTACGATCGACGACGAAAAGGGTGGGTATCGATGGTTTGATTTACCTATTAACTGGCCCACGAGCAAATAAGAGCGAACAGTCTTTAAATGATTGCTGTTATTGTTGTTGGTGTTGTTGGTGTTGGTATTGTTGTTGTTGTTCTTGTTGTTATTGTTGTTGTTGGTGGTGTTGGTGTTAGTGTTGGTGTTGTTGCTGTTGCTGTTGATGTTGTTGCGTTGTTGTCGTCGTCCTCGCCCGCGACCCACCCCGCGACCCACCCCGCGACGCGCCTCGCGACGCACCCCGCGACCCGCCCCGCGACCCGCCGCCTCGCTCTTCTCCGCAACAGCGGGTCACTCTGCGCAGGTCGGCTCTTGCCGGCTGTGCCGCACCGCCTGCCTTGCCCCCACGCCCCTCGCTGCCTGGAGCCCTCGTGCCGTGGGCTCCACGTG